CGGGCGGGGGCTCCCCAAGTGCGGGCCTGCCCCGCGCGCCCAGGGGCCTGGAATCCGCGCCTGCAGAGCCCGGCCCCGGACTCACTGCCCCAGCCCTCCCTGCGGGCGCCCGGGGCACCCCTGGGGTTCGCTCATCCTGGAACAGTCGCGGGCGCTGCTCTGCTCCGGGCGTTGCGCACGCAACTGGAGATGTGGCGGTGGCGACGACAGTCACGAACGGGGCGAGGGGGCCCAGACAGGCAACCCGGCGTCACCAAGCCGGGTGGCGGGGGCTGTGCTCGGGCTGCGGGACGGGATGGGATCGCAAAGCCGGGCGCCCCACCCCATCCCGGGGGCGGCCCACGGAAACTCCCAGGGGAAGTGGGGTCTGGTCCAGGTGTGCCCCGAAGGACAAGTGGAAGGTTGGGGAGACGGGGGTACGCAGCGCAGAGAGACTCCGCGTGTACAGACCCGCGCGGTGGAGCCACGGAGATGGGACCAATGGAGGTTCAGGGTGGAAGAGAAAAGTCAAGGAGAGGATAAGGAGCAGCCAGAGAAGGGGGCGAGGGTGGGGACACGGAGGGGGTGCGGGAATGAAGGGATTCCGGAAGGAGGGGCCAAGACTCTTGTCAGGTGCCGGCCAGAGGGCTGGTTGGGTAGAAACTGGGACAGGTCCAGGCATTTGGCCATCTCGACATTGAGAACCTTGGGGAGGTGGTTCTGTGGAGATTCGAGTGAGGAAGCGGAGCGCCTGTGTAGACAGTCTTTTCTAGACGTTCTCTTGAAGTGAGAGAGTGTAGATGTGGGAGAGGAATTGGGGACCAGGGTGCAGAGCGCAGTAAAGCAGATGTGTGTTTGGAACACGGGCTCTGGGTTCTGGAGTCCCCACACTCGCTCACTGGTGTCCTTACCACGGTGAGACCTGGGGCAAGTCATGTCACCTCTTTATGCCTCAGTTCCCTCATCTGTAAAATGGGGATGCTGATGACAATACCTGCCTCAGAGGGTTCCCGTGAAGATTAGATGAGATGGTGCCTCTAAAAGTGCTTAATACAGCACTAAAAAGTAGTACCTATTATTGTTCACTTTTATTATTAGAGCAGAGCTTGGGCGTATTTTGATGCTGATAGGGAGGAGCCGGTAGAGAGGGAGGCATTGAAGACAGAGAGGAGAGAAAAGGGACTAGAGAGAAAGGGACCCAGAACTTGGATGCGAGATAAGTCTTGGGTGCCTGTCTATGCCAAACCAGGGGAGAGAGGGCATAGGTGGGGATGCAGCAAATTTGCAGGTTTGGGGTATGTGGTTGAGGGAGTGTCTGTCTGATAGTCTTTTCTCTGAAGTAGGTCTCAAGGTCAGTTGCTGAGAGGGCCAGGCCAGGCCCGGCCCAGGTGAGGTGGAGGGCCTGATTCACACTGCCTTGGTGCGGTGCCGTGCCCTCTTTACGAGCAGCCCCAGTGTTGCTCCAGGGAATGTGGGCGGTTGAATTTATCTAGGGTCAGAGGACATCTGACCTGCCTTGCCCCTGCTCAAGTCAAGTTGATGGATTGAAAACACTATATAAGCATAATTTACCATTTTAATCCTTTTCCCTGATTTTGAAGGGCTGTAGCCACCATCGGAATACAATGTGGAAGCCTCTGAAGCACTTCTGGCGGCCGTGTACCATGCCTGCTTTCACCCGTGACAGTTAGGTGAAGTAGGTGTTATTATCATCCCCATTTACAGATGCAGAAACTGAGGTCCAGAGAAGTTAAGAACCTTGTCCCAGGACTTGGAGTCCCACAGCCCTGGTGCTAACCCTGCTTCACCTCCAGGGGCTGTGTGACTTTGGATCAGGCATCTTGCTTCTCTGAGCCTATACGTGGCTGCAGAAGAATTCCTGGCAGTTTGCTCTAAGGTTCCAGAAGGAAATCGTTGTGCAGCGCACAGTAGACACGCCAGGAGCTGTAGTTCCCATGCATCCGTGGATCTGCATCCCGCTTGGCCACAGAGACCCACTCCCTGTGACCTGGTGTCTGTTTAGAGGTTTGTTCTCCTCAGAGCCAGGAAGTGGTGGTGCCTGACCCGAGTGTGTGGCCACCTATGACTTCCTGAGTGGGGCCATGGGGGAGGGCCCTGAGCAGTCTATGGCCCTGAGGCCTTGGACTTCAAAGTGGGGGAGGGCCCTGTGTCGTCATGGTGACTGATGAGGAATGCCAGGGGCAGGTCTGGGCCTCCCTGCTGCCTCTGGTTGCCTTGGCTGTAGGGTCCCTGAATCTTAGACGCCAGAGGGGCCTTGGAGACCACCTCTTGCAATTCCTTTTTTTACAGATGGGGTAACCGAGCTCCCCTGTGAGGAAGTGACTTCTACCTGAGACACTGGACAGGGCAGAGTTAAAACTCCCGGAACTTGCATTTTTGGACCTGCCTCCAGGACCCTGGGGATTTCCACCAGGGAGGTGAGCACCCCCCCACCAAGAATTCTAGGCTGCTCAGAGGTCCCAGGGAACACAGACATGTCTCCAGCTGTGGCTCTGCCAATGTGCTCTGGGGAGGAGGTGGAGGAAGCCAGTGGCAGCCTAAGGTTCTGTGACAGGGGAACTCTGACTGTGGTTCCTGAAAGTGCGTGACGCGGTTCTTTTTTCTCTCTGACTCGCTCTCTTGCTCTCTCTCACTCTAAAGAATGACTGGACACTCCAAGAGCTTTCAGGCACCATCCAGGGGATTTTTTTCACCACAAAGGGTAATTCCTGCCCCATCCCTGCTGTGACTCAGCGGTGACGTCGAACCACAGAAGCCAGAGAGAAGATAAAGTCATCAGACTCCTGCTCACCAGAGAGGGTGACCCGGGCCAGAACTCACCTCTTCTCTCAGCACAAGCTCCACGAGGCTGGTCCCCTGCCCCAGGGGAGCTTAGACGGCCCCCACCAGCTGGCCTGGGACCTCAGGATGGCCTCTGGCTCAGCCAGCAGCCCCCGCCCGGCCCCCGATGAGAACGAGTTTCCCTTTGGGTGCCCCCCCACCGTCTGCGAGAACCCATCAGAGCCCAGGGCCCTCTGCTGTGCCGCCTGTCTCTCTGAGAACATGAGGTGAGGGGTCAGAGGAGAAAAGGGTGGGTGGGGAGAAGGTGCCAGGGAGGGACCCCCGACAGGGGGCTTTGGGCAGGCGACTTCACCTCTCTGGGCCTCAGTTTCCACACCCTTTCCTTGCAGTCCCTGAAGCTGCCCCTTCTGACTGTTGGTGGAAGGAGAAGTGGCCACAAAAAGATGTCAGCTCCCAGAAGGCCGGCCAGGGTGGAGGGAGAGCCTCTGGGCCCCGCTGGGCTGCTTACTGTCTATGTGGCCTGGTGCAAATTGCTTAATGTCTCGAAGCCCCAGCTTCCTTGTCTGTAAACGGCCTGTAAAGCTATTTTCTACCTCCCAGAATTGTCACAGGCCCAATCAGTATTATTCAAAAAAGTTCATATAATAATGAATGTAAACTCTCTTAGTAAATAACGAACTGCTGTACAAATATATCTGCTTCCACAGTATCACCCATCACCTCATCTTGTTTGCTGGGAACCCTTTTAAAGGGGACAAAGTATCTATGTTTACATATGTATATATAGTATATATATATTTATATAAAATATACATTTTTGTATATATGAAATATATGTATATAATATGTATCACATATATAATGTATTAAAATATGTGTATATTTATATTTAAAATAACTCAGAGAGGTGTGACATCAATACAAGCATCAGCATCCTGCCTTAAGCAACTATTGTACACCTACTGTGTGCCAAGTACTCTTTCTTTGGGTCTTCAGAAGAGCCTGGAAAGGTGCATATTATTATTATTCTATTTTACAGATGAGGACAGTGAGGCCTAATGGAGAGATTAGGTCCGTTTGCCCAGGCCAGTTTCCTGGCAGATGTGCTCTTAAACTGCCATGTGCCCCAGCGTGACCTTTGTTTGGGGCTTTACAGCTTAAGAAGGTGGGAAAACTGAATCAGGCAAGCGAGAAGTTCAAAGCTTTGGCCAAGGGGGAGGCTGTGAGAAGAGGGAGGCAGAGGGGGTGGCTGTGGAAAGGCCAGGTGTGGGGTGAGGGAGCAAAGCTTGACTGGTTTTACCATCCAGCTGATTGTTCCGGGTCATCTCAGGCTTCTTCAGTGGGTCTCTTGGCTTCCCTCCTCATTCTTCCAAAACCTGGCGGAGGGGAGGAAGCTGACTAGATGTCGAAGTGACCTGGGCCTGAGGTCTGAAGAGCTCTGCCCAGCTCTGCTCCTGACCTGCTCTACCTTGGCCAATCCATCCATCCTCCGAGGCCTCACTTTCCTGCCCTGTACGATGGGCCTGGCCAGTAGCTCTCGCTGTGGATCAGAATCACCTGGGAGCTTTATAAAAGCACATGTGCCCGTGAGTCACCCGGTCAGAGAGTGACACCCGCTCCTGGTTAAGAACCTCAGGCTAGGTGTTCTCTGAGGCCCCTTCTTGTTCTAATAGGCCATGGTCATCTGTGATTACTAAAAATCAGAGACCAAAACCCAATAGTGGAAGCTGAGAAGAGCAAATACAGTATCACATCCACAATCCCTTACCTGAACCCCTGGGGTCAGATGTATTTTGGAATTCACATTTTTTTTCAGATTTTAGGAGAGCAGATCAGTGCATTAGTGCATAATTCTTCCAGCGAGGATTGGGGCAACACCTTATAATCAAGCATATTAATATTTCTGCAATGCAACATATAAATATTCACACTAAGTGGGATAAGTAAGGGCTGTAACAGCCTCCAGTCACTTTAGCTCAGGTTAAGCTGCCAAAGAACTCACTGCCAACTCCAGGAAAACATTGGGTGCTCAGGGCTTTTGAGGTTTGGAAGCGGTGAGTCGGGATTGTGGACCCGCACGCTCATTGATATCAGCCTCCAGGACCCAGGCTTTGGAGCTCTCAGGATGGGGGTTGGTGCCAGGGAGTCGTGAATGCCTCACTCAGCGGGGTTTGTTCGTGTGTCCCCAGGAACAGCGAGGATCGGATCTGTCCCAAATGCAGAGGAGACGACTCCCAATCTGTAAGCCCAGGAACCCTGGTGTCTCAGGAGAAGGTACGTTGGCACAGCCAGGAAAGGGTGTTTGTCCGTTTTCTCCATTTGTTGAGGTTGAGGCCAAGTAGGCAGTTGCCTGCAGAGCCTCTAGCCAGCACCTCCCTCTGTCTTAAGTCTGGACTGAATTCCATTTGTAAGCAAGGAGGAGACTGATGGTCACAGTGGTGAAATGACTTTCCCAAAGCCGCCTAGCTGATCTGTGACGGATTCAGGTTGAGAACAACAGTCTAGACGGGGCGTACTATACTGTAATACTCTCATACTATAGCCTATGAGCCAAATCCAGCTTGCCACCTGTTTCTGTACAGCCTGCTAGCTAAGAATAGTTTTCATATTTTAAATGGTTTAAAAAAATCAAAAGAGGAATGTATTTTGTGACATGAAATTCAAACTTCTGTGTCCATAAATAAAGTTTTATTGGTACACAGCCACAACCCATTCATTTACGTATTGTGTATGGCTGTCCTCACCCTACAGTGGCAGAGTTGAGTAGTTGCAACAGAGGCTGCAAAGCCCAAAATATTTGCTATGTGGCCCTTTACAGAAAAAGTTTGCCATCTCTTAATCTAGACAGTTCCTTCTGCCCTGTTTACCCTCAGGCAGGGAGAGGCCATTCTCAGCTCACCTCTCGGGCCTGCCAAGCTGTGATTTTAGGAATAGGAGACAGCTTTGGAAGTGTGAGGGGCCAAAGAGTCATCCTCGGGCACCACGGTTTAGAACCCCAGCCCTTCCGAGTTGGAAGGCCCGTCACAGGTCATCCGTCTAGCCCAGAGGTTCCCACGTGCCAGCCAGAACCGGTCTTCCCACCAGTTCATGACAAAATGATAACAAGGAAATTGTAGTGAGTTTTTTATAAAACTAAGTTCCTTCCATTTAGAGAGTCAACCTTTACTCTGAGATTGTGCCTTTCCTATAATGTCTTGGTATAACTGAAATGATAGTGATAATAGATGATAGAATTTTTGGTAAAGCCTTTACTTGGTAAAATGAAAAGATAGCGATCTTTATGTTAATCTCTCAATTTAAAAAAAACAACAACAAAACTTGTATTGGCCAATGAATCCAAATCTGTAAGAACCACTGCTCTAAATCTAACCTCCTCATTTTACACGTGGGGCCCCGAGACCCACTGGGGAGTCTCAGTGCGAAGCTCCCCCGTGACCAGGGTCTCGCCGCTCGCCCACCCTCACTCTCCGCACTGTGAGGCGCCCAGCTCTTTTCAGCCAAAGCTCCCCTCTTGCACCAAACCACGGCCCAGGGGTCATGAGCCTGGCGTCCAGGATGGCTCTGTATAATTCAGTGTGTGGCCTGAGACGACTCCCGTGCCTGTTTCTCTGTCTATAAAATGAAGAAGCTACGTTGGCTCTGCAGGGGCGTTCCAGGACCTGTGATGTCTGGATTACCTGTCAGTGGATGGCAGGGTGGCTCTCCCTGCCACCTGCGGGAACCAGAGGCAGGCAAGTCTCCACACCTCCTCCTCCCCTCTTGGCTTTGGCCCCTCTCCTTCAGAGAGTTGGGGGAATTTCCTGTCCAACCCAAAGTTGGTTTTGAGGGCTCTCCCGTCCCCTACTCAGCAGCCCCTCCTCCCGCAGGCCCTCAAGGGACTAATAATAAGGATCCGATGCATTTTCCCAAGACTTTACACCCTGCGGCATGTAAAAGCGAATAGGATAAACTGATCCGTGGAGTAACTTCCTGAGCCTCCCTGCTTGGACATCTTAGTGGACAAGCCATGAGGCAGGAGACATGAGCAGACCCATAACTCTCTCTGTGGGCCACCTCGCTCCACCCACAAAAGGGAGGGCGTGGGCCAGATGCTTCCTAAGGCCCCTCCCTGCTTGAATGCTCCAGGATTATTGTTTTTAACTTGTTCTCTTCTTGCCTCTTAACAAAATTAATACACATTCATTGTACAAATCTTAGATAATACAGATAAGAGATATTTTAATATCTCTTAATGCAATGATTTTAATTTTTTCATCTTCGTTAACGTGAAATCAGATGGAAGTAGAAGTACTCTAATTAAAGGGGAGCCTAGAGCCCTGTCCTCTTAGTTATATGCCATTTCTCTCTCCTGTCCGAGCCCCTGAGGGACTCTGGGGATTCCTAGGGCTCTGCAGAGCACAGTTTGAAACTTGCTGTCTTAAACCAAATGAAGTAAATGCTAATGGTGGAATTCCAGGCACTCTAACAGGTTTTGGGGTGGGAGGGGTGCTGCCTACATTTAGGGGCAGAGGCCTTTTGGACACAGGCAGACCTCCGAGAAGCATCAGTCTCCCCCACCCCCAGCTTCCTGGCCTAACGCAGTCATCACTGCACCCCTGGTGGAAGGCTAGGGGGCGGGTGAGCTGGTGGTCTGACACCTGCACAAAGCCACATAGTGGAAAGACCAGGGACTCCTCTGGCTCCTGGCCCTGATGGGGACCTTGAGGACTTTTGACCAAAGGAAAGCAGCTGATTAGAAGTCAACGCTTTGTGTATGTGGTAATTCCGAAATTTGTCTGTGCATCTGGGGAAACCTAGGAAATGGAGGTGGGGTGGAGGGGCCGGACCTGAGACCAGCCAAGCTGAGCCTGGAGGCGCCCATCCTCACAGACACTTTCCATGCCATCTGCTTATCAGTTTGTCCTCATCCTCTGACTTCATTAGATTACTATCTCTCTAAGAAGTGCTCGGAGCCATGGAGGGATCAGCTAATGTAAGAGGAGACATTAAAGGATTACTGTCGACCTAGTTAGAGACTTGGTTCTTGCCTGGAGAACCAAGACCTCCCTGAACAGTGACAGTGAAGTAGGGGACAACCCGGTGGCTGGAAAATAGCATTCAATTCTGTCTGCCCCCGACCTTGTGAATGGGCTCGTTTCTCCCACGCTCTCCCTGAGGCCACTCAAGAAGATTAAAAGCAAGCTGGAGTCTGAGGCTGGTGGCTTACAATAATGCCTGAACTCATTCTAGAATCAGAAAATGACAGGAGGTCAAGCTGTCTGGTCTAGTTTCCGGTCTGTACTGGACTCCTGCCAGGTGGCTCTTTGTCCTCCCAGGGATGGGGAGCTCATGACTCCATGCAGTGACCACTTCCCTATGGGGGACTCTGACTATTGTACTATTTTCCTCATTATTTGTACCGAGCTGAAGTCTTTCTGCCTTGGGGCCACAGAAGGCAAGTCAGTCAGCCTCTTGCCCCTAAGGCAGTCCTGCCTCTGTGGGAAGGTGCTGACCGTGTTCCGCTTGAGTCTGTCCCCAGTCTCTATGCATTTGGGGTAACTGTGCTGCTGTTTATTTGTGTCCTTTGAAGTGTGATGCCTGGAAATAAACCCCCGAAGTTTACACCTCTGAGCTTGACAGTTGCATCTGTAACCTCGTCGATCCCGTGACATCCTGTGTCATGGGTGGTGGCAATATCCTTATTTTACTGATAGGTAGCATATTGAGGCTCAGTGGTGAGGCATGCCTGGACCAAAGTCATATAGCAAGGGAGCGGCAAAGCCAGGCTACCTCCTGCCTCCTAGGCTAGTGGTATCCATATGTTTTACGCAGATTTAAATAACACAGTCAGCCCTAAGTTCTGGAACCCACCGAGTGCTATGGAAAAACAGGAATGGACAAGACTACGTTCAGTTGGGAGAATCATGCAGGGCTTCCTGGAGAAGGTGGCAGTGGAACTGAGCAGAAGATGGCAGAGAGGAAATTGGCCCATTTACAGAGCTAGGCAGGAACTGGCAGGCAGAGGCAGACTGACTGGGTCCACTCTGTGACTGTAGAGTACCTCTCCCTCAGCGCTAGCTGAGACCTGAGCAGAAATGGCCCCTTCAAGCATCTAAGACCTCAGCCAGCCTCTGTGCCAGCGCAAACCCTCTGTTCTGTGCAGTAGCTTCATAGAGGTAGCTCTCTTGCTCCTGGCACCCTCTTAATGCTCACGTTCTCGGAGGCCCTCAGGTCCCCAAGTGGGGGCCTCTTGCTGGGACCCTCTGCTGACCCCGTCACAAAGGGCCTGCGTACCCAGGGTAGCCGGGAACACCACACCCCCCAGACTTCTCGGACACGGACAGAAGGACGAGTGTTCCCTCAGGCCTGGGATTTTGTTTTCTCTGTTTCTGTTTCCTCCTCAGAGGAAATTCCACTGCGAGTTTTATTTTTAGCAGTTTGCAGGCAGTGAGGCCACTCACACAGCGGCCGTTTGTGGCACCAGACATATGCCAGGCTTGGCCGGGACAGATGCCCTGTTCTTTCTCTGCAGGCACAGCCTGGTTCCCTCTCCTGTCCCCTCAGTCCCCGGCCTTCAGGTGAGGCCACCCTTTGGTCAAGGGAAGGACCCCTTAGTGGGGAGGAAGGACCCTGGACGTGGATTCCAGGGCCCTGGCCTCTACCTCGCCTTTGCCTCAAACTTGCATCCTGTCCCGCAAGTCACAGACCATCCCTGAGCTTTGGCTTCCCCACCTACATGAGAGAAGCAGAACCTCAGAGTCCCGACCTCCCCATCGTGGTACTTTGAGATTCGATGGGGCGGTGCTCACACAGGTGCCAAGAAAGCAGCAAGCCCTTGCAAGTTCTCTAACTATGGGACAGAAGACCCGGATTCGGTCAGCTCCTCAAATGTGCAAGCTGGGTGTGACCTCGAGTGCGCCATTCTCTCAGTTCTCCCATCTGTATTAAGGAGAAGCTATTCCCATCCTACCAGCCTCAAAGGATTATTGCAGGGATCCTATGAGATAACATGCAAGAATGCTTTGGTCCTGTATAAATGCAAATACACTTAGAGATGTTCCTCACCTCCCCGAGGAAATCCAGTGGGAAAATGGAGTTTTATAGAGTTAGTTATTAAGAGTTTGAGAGGTGAAGATTAAATGAAATGCATGTATATGACAGCCATAGAGGGAAAGGAAAAAAAGATGTCCCAAGGGCAGTGCTTAATCTATAGGAATAAAAATATTAATAATAGTAATACTGCTAATAATAATAATGGTAACATGTATCAAGCACTGCATTAGGCAGAATGGTGTTCCCCAAAGATGTCCACATCTTAATCCCCAGAACCTGTGAATATGTTACCTTACATGGCTGTATTAGTCTGCTCAGGCTCCCATAACAAAGTACCACAGACTGGGTGGCACAAACAATAGAAATTCATTTTCTCTATTCTGGAGGCAAGAAGTTCGATACAGCGTTGGTTTCTTCTGAGGCCTCTCTCCTTGGCTTGTAGATGCCATCTTCTCCCATTATCTTCATATCTTCTTCCCTCTGTATATCTGTGTCCACATTTTCTCTTCTTCTGAGGACACCAGTCGTATTGGATTAGGGCTCACCCTAGTGACCTCATTTTAGCTTAAAGACCCTGTCTCCAGTTACAGTCATGTTCTAGGGGTTAGGATTTCAACATATGAATTGGGGGGGGATACATCTCAGCCCATAACAATGGCAAAAGGGACTTTGCAGATGTGATTAAATTAAGGATCTTGAGATGGGGGGATTACCTTGGATTATCTAGGAGGGTCCAGTGTAGTCACAAGGGTCCTCATCAGAGGGAGACAAGACAGTCAGAGTCAGGGAGAGACTGGAAGGTGCTCTGCTGCTGGTTTTGAAGACGGAGAAAGGGACTACGAGCCAAGGAATGCAGGCAGCCTCTTGAAGCTGGAAAAAGCAAGGAAATGGATTCTCCCCTAGAGCCTCCAGAAGGAACACAACTGCCGACACTTTGATATTAGGACTTCTGGTCTCCAGAACTGTAAAATAATAAATTGGTGTTGTTTTAAGCCATTAAGTTTGTGGTATTTTGTTATAGCAGCAATAGGTAACTAATACCAGAATTTACATGTATTATCTCATTTAATCCTCACAATAATTCTGAAGAGGGTGGTACTATTATTACCCCCCTTTTGCAGATGAGGAAACTGAGACATGGAGAGGTTAATAACTCTCCCAGGGCCACACAGCTAGTACGTGAAGCCACCAAAATGGGCTTTGCACCCTGACAGGCTGGGTCCAGAGCCCACCCCCTAACCCCTGTCACACTCCAAGGAATGAGTGACTGACTGACCGATGATGGGACTCTGGGCAGACTGGCTGGCCACCAAGGCCTCTGAAGGTCTCTTGCATCAACTCTGCCCCTCCTCTGTCAGCCATTGGAGGCTGGTCACAGCCCACAAGCATCCATGCATCGTAATAAGGATGACCCCTACATTCGTGTAGCACTTTCCACCCTACAACAGACTTCCACTGCACAGACACGACACCAGCAAGGCTCAGCTGCCAAAAGAACACCTCCCCTCCGCCTGCAGGGTGATTTGGGAATTCCACTTAGTTTATCGCTTTCACCTTTTCATCCCTCCTAGGACTCTCACTTCAAGCTTAGAACCACAGAGGATTCGAATCATGGACTTGCAGGGAGTTTTAGGGCCTGAGAGGTGCCCCTAATCCATTCACCCGGGAACCAGGGCCACCCTTAGCTTCAGGCCCTCTCTTGTTCCCACACGGCGGGAAGCTACCTGCTGGGAGAGGCTGCATCACTGCACACCCCTCAAAGCCAGCATGGTCCCCCTGCCAAGGCTGCCCTCTGCCCCACTACCCCCTGCAATAAAACATCTGTTTTCTATTCTTTGTTGGGAACAACTCATGCTTGAATCCCAGGGCAGTGGGGCAAAGGGGAGTGGCCCTTTGCTGGGCTTGCTTTGTGTCCCAAACTGTACTCATTAAGCCCACGGCTTATTTTACTTTTAAAGAAGAATAACTAGGGTGTCTTTATATTTGCTCAGCCCAAAAGACCTCTGTGCTCCCCTCCTTTTAACTAGTCTCCATTCATTTTGCCCCATGAGATTATTCTTAAAAAAAAAAAAAAGCTCTTGGAAAATCAAGATATTATTTATATACAATAAAATTCACTCATTTTAAGTGTACAGTTCAATGGATGCCGGTAAATGTATACAATGGTGTGAGCACTATAGTCAACAGGGAAAAGCGTCCTTGGGCCCCCGGTTAGCCAGTCACCCCCAGCTGCAGCCCCAGGTAGCCGCTGATCTGGTTTCTGTCACCATAGATTTGTCTTTTCTGGAATCTCATAAGAATAGAATCATAGTCTGTAGTCTTTTGTGTTTCTTTCATTTAGTATAATGTTTTTGAGGTGTCTCCATGTTGTTGTGTATATTAGTATTTTAGTCCATCTGATTGCTGAGTAGTGTTCTAGAGTAGGGATGTAGCACAGTTTGTTCATCCATTCACCAGCTGATGGATGTCTGGATTGCTTCCAGTTTGGGCTATTATGAATAAAGCTGCTACGAACATTGATGTACACACGTGGACATGTGTTTCGGTTTCTCTTGGGTGAATTCCTAGGAGTAGAATGTGTGGGTGGTATGATAACTCTATACTCGTGGTTTATAAGTATAATTTAACTTTATGAGATACTTCCATAGATTTTTCCAAAGTGGCTGTACCATTTTGCGTTCCCGCTAGCAACAGTAATGAGTGTTCCAGTTCCTCCACATCCTCCCCAAAACTTGCTATTGTCATTCTTTTTTAATTTTAGCCATCTAGTGAGTGGATCGTCGTATTTCATTGTGGTATTTCATTATAATTTGCATTTCTCTGGTGACTAGTGGTGTTGGATATCTCTTCATAAGCTCGTCATTTCTATATCTCCTGTTGTGAAGTATCTGTTCAGTATTTTACCCATTTTTTGTTAGGTTGTTTGTCTTATTATTATTGAATTGTAGGTGTTCTTTATATATTTTGGACACAAGCTCTTTCCAGATGTATGTTTTGGGAAAAATTTTCTCCCAGTGTCCCATGGGCTTACTCTTGATGAGAGATAGTGCTGTGGTACGGGGAGAACCCTGTGGCTGTGCTGCTTCCTAGCTGTTCCTCCTTGGGCAAATCCCTTCTCCTCTGTGAGCTTCAGTTTCTTCATCACTAAACGGGAACAACAAACATACTTGGCCTTCCCCTACGATGTTTTTAAGGATCGTAGGAAGAATTATGACCATGAAAGCATTTTGTAAACTCCTCAGACCTATAAGTAGGTGAACAGCGTTGTCAGGTTGCTGTTGAGTCCTGATATGCTTCTGTGTCCCTGCCCTCAGCTATACCTTATCTGGAAGGGAAAGCAGTGCAGGGCAGGCACGCCTCAATCCATCCAAGGATGGATTGCCAAGGAAAGATCCAGATGGATAGTCCCCATGGGCTTCAGGAGGAGGAGGCACTCAGTCGTGCAGCCAGCATGTTCCTAGCTCCTCTGTGCCAGGCACTGCCCTCAGCACTGGGAACAAAGCTGTGACCCTCACAGAGCCCCCAGACCAATGTGGGCAACCACAGAGTAGTGAATAATGACTACAGGGCTGGTGGAACAGGCCCTGATGGGAGAAGTGGCAACACTGCCCGGGATCACAGCCGGGGCCCTGATCCTGTTTTGAAGGAGGTCACAGAAGGGCTGAAGCTCAGAGGGTGGAAAGGAGTCCACCGGGCAGAAGGAACAACATGTGCAAAATCATGTGGCCCAGCCCAGCTCATGCCCTAGTGGATCCTGGTGCTTTGCAGAGCACCACTGGAACCCCCATAACATCCAGTGACATGGTTATTATTTGCAGGATCACCCTGAAGTGGCCGAGATTGGAGTTGGGTGCCCCTTTGCAGGTGTTGGCTGCTCCTTCAAGGTAAGCATCTGAGTGTGAAAGAGAGGTCTATCCACTACAGTCCCAGACCTCTGGATCTCCCTACTCCAGCCCCTCCAGGATTTTCCCACAACATCAACCTAGTCCTCTGGATGTCCCTTACATTAATGACTCTCCCAAGCAACAAATCCCACTGGTAATCATCTCCGTACTCAGGGAAGTTCTCCTTAATGTCTCACCTGAGCATTGTAGTGTCACTAAAATGACCCTCCCCACCCCCCCCCGCCTCTCTCCATGGTCCTGAATCATCCCTGCACTCAAGGGCAGGCTGGGATGCTCGTGACTTACCACAGGCATGTCTGATGCCAGGGTCCTCCTCCGAATAATCCCCCTTGCTGCACACAAAGCAACTTCCCCCTTGCTAGGTGAATGAATCTGACTTTCCCTGGCAACCTTTGGTGGCGGGACTCTGCACTGCTCCCTGGTCCTCCCTCCACCTTCTCTGTTTTCACTGATCGGCCCTATTCACTTGGCAGGGGAGCCCAAAGTTCATGCAGGAGCATGAGGTCACCTCCCAGGCCACCCACCTAAACCTTCTGTTGGGCTTCATGAAACAGTGGAAGGCCCAGCTGGGCTCTGGCCTGGGGTCCGGGCCCATGGCCCTGGAGCAGAATCTGTCAGACCTACAGCTGCAGGCTGCCGTGGAGGTGGCTGGCGACCTGGAGGTGGACTGTTACCGGGCGCCGTGCTCCGAGAGCCAGGAGGAGCTGGCCCTACAGCAGTTCATGAAGGAGAAGCTGCTGGCGGACCTGGAGGGGAAGCTGCGTGTGTTTGAGAACATTGTCGCTGTCCTCAACAAGGAGGTGGAGGCCTCCCACCTGGCCCTGGCCGCCTCCATCCACCAGAGCCAGCTGGACCGCGAGCACATCCTGAGCTTGGAACAGAGGGTGAGCATGGGAGGCAAGTTTACCTTCCAGGGCGGCTCAGGGGGGTCCCTTTTGCCCCATCTTGTCTCCAGAGCAGTGGGCCAGCCTTCCTCCTAGGCATTCTCCCTGCTCAGAGCAGTCACTCTCCCATCAAAAAATCTCCTGTGTCCCAAGACCTTGTAAGGAAGAACACTGAGTCAGAAGCTATAGTCAAGGTCAAATTCCCCCATCCAGTATTTCATTTCCTTTGCTTGAACTTCTTCTGTGATGGGATCCTCCCTCCCCAAGCATCTCATTCCATTGCTGGACATTTTTCACTATTAGAAAGTTCTTATACTAAACTGAAATCAGCCTCTCTGTGTCGTCCCTGCATCGATTGTTCCTGACCCTGCCTCTCAGGGCCCACAGAACAAATCTGCCTTCTAGTCCCCATGGAAGCCCTTCAGAGATGAGCAGTCAGTGATTATGTCCTACCTGAGTATTTCTTTCTTTAGGCTAAATGCCCCCAGTGCCTTCACCCCTTCATCAGAGCATGTTGTTTCATGCTGTCCTCCTGTGCTCTGGCTCAGTCTCTAAAGGATTCCACACACTCATAGTGGAAGTCCCAGACCGACTCCAGATAATCCACATATCTGATAGTTCTTGGTTGAGCTGGACTGTCCCTTCCTTTGTTCCAGAGCTTATACTTTTCTTAATATAACCAGTCATCATGCTAATGTTGCTTTGTTTTGCAGCAGCATTACATCCCTGTCTCATGCTGAGTTAGGCCTGGATTTTAGTTCCAGGTCCACCATTAACTTGCTGTGTAGGTCTGAACAAGTCACCTTCCCCTTCTGGACTTCAACTTTTTCATGTGTAAAATTGGGGATTCAGTTTTCTTCAAGGATACTCACTCCCATTCCTGACTTCCCTACCTGAGCTCACCCAAGAATAAATTTGTATTCTTTCAAGTGTCAACGGGGAAACCTACCAGAAGAGCCAGGCACTGGGTTCCAGTGACCCAGTAAAGCTTTATTTATGTAACTCTTGCCCCACCTAGAAGGTGGGCTCCCTAAGGACAGACCATGTCTTCAGTTCTTCAGCAAACTTCCTGCCTTGCATACAAGGCACAGACACAGAGATAAAATGAGCATGGCCGCAGCCCTTGGTAGGGGAGACCATCTATCTGGTAGGAAAGACAGAGAAATATATCTCATAAAACTGTTGTCATGGCTGTGTAAGAGCATAGATGAGAGAGAGACCAGCTGAGCTAGGCCAGTGGTTGAAGGTTTCCCAGGGAAGGGCTACGTGAGCCAGATTCCTGACGGATGAATAGGAGTTCAGTGGAGTGGAGAAGGAAGGAAAAGGAATTCCAGGCAGGGGAACAGCATGTGCAAAGGCAGATGCACGTGCCTGCGGGAGGCTGGTCAGGAAGGCATATTCTGGGCAGATCTATCTCCGTGTCCTGCCATCCCCACCCCCTCCCACAGCTGGGTTCTGGTGTCCCTGGTTGAATGGGCTTCCCGCAGGTGGTGGAGTTGCAGCAGACCCTGGCCCAGAAAGACCAGGCCCTGGGCAAGCTGGAGCAGAGCCTCCGCCTCATGGAGGAAGCCTCCTTCGACGGCACCTTCCTGTGGAAGATCACTAATGTCACCAGGCGGTGCCATGAGTCGGCCTGCGGCAGGACCGTCAGCCTCTTTTCCCCAGGTAACATGTCCCCAGGGGCACAGAGAGCAGCTCGGGGAGGCTGGTCTCCCTGGGCCCAGGAAACAGGCAGGGAGAGCAGCCAACTCCGTGACGGCCATACTGTGTCCACTTAGGCCAGTGTCCATTCAGGCCACCTACCGTGCTGGGACCATGGAGGTGTAGACTCCCCCCTCAGCCACACAGAGCACGGGCTGTCCGAAGTGGGCACGCCTTCCACCTCCCTGAGCATCAGTCACGTTCTGCAGATAGGAATAAAAATCGTCTTCTACTTCGTGTGGATATCACATGTGACAGCGTGTGCTCTGAACCACGCTCGTGCAAATGAGAGGACAGTTTTCACAGTGAATGCCGTGGGGCCCCTGCCCTCAGGGAGCAACAGTCTGAAATAAGACAAGTGGAGAGCTGAGTAAAACAACGTGCATGTGTGTATGATTGTGTAAATCGGGGCATTTACACAGTTCTTGCTCATTTCTGGGCCTGGCACAATATCTGCATAAAGTGGTTACTCAGTAGATGTTCCCCTTAATTGATGACCGTTTATATAACAATGCGTATATTGTGCATAAAATGCTCAGACCTGTGTGCTTTTCCCCTCTTCTCATTCACGTGCGTGTAAGTGATCGGGTGGGTCATTAGGGAGGATTTCTGTGGGTGCCGATTTTAACAACCTCTCACATCTTCCTCAACGTCATATCTTTCCTGTTCATGAGCTCCCCTGCCACACCCAAGACCAGCAGGGCTGGGATTATTCCTCTTCAGCCTCCTGCCTCCATAGGGGAGGAGAGGAGAGGCGCTGCAGAGCAGATCTGGGTCACAAAGCCAGGCCCCTGTGGGCTTCTTCTCCTGGGTTCTTTCCAAAGAGGGAAAAATCAAGCGGGGTCTCTGGCTTCCTGTTCTATGAGTATGTAAGGGGCAGAGATGAGTCACTGTCAGCCTGTCGCTTCTCTGCCCCTTCCTGTCTGCCCCCCACACTTACACACCCTGTCCCCACTGAGCTCCTCCCAGGGGGGCCCTTGCGGTAACAGCCGCTGGAACCCAGATGGCCCTTTCAGCTGCCCAGGAAGCCAGCCCACAGGCCGCTGTGCTTATTCACGGGGGGATGATTCATCCCTCAGGGGCCTTTGCCAAGGGTGGCGAGCAGAACTGCAAGCAGGCCGACTTTCTGCCAACTTCTAGGAGACCCCAACCACTTGGCCTAGGGCCGCAGAAAGAAATCAGTGTTGGGAAGTTGGGTAGCCCCTAATCCTGGCTCTGCCCCCAACACACTGTGAGACCGTGGCCAGCCACTTCCCCTCTGGGCTCTGTTTCCTGAATATAAAATGCAGGTTGGTTAAATCAAAGTGTGGTTCCAGGACCAGCAGCATCACCAAACCCTGCCAACTTGTTAGAAATGCAAATTCTCAGTCCTCACCCCAGCTCTACCAGTCAGAAACTCCGGGGTGGGGCTCGGCGATCTGTGGTTCTGATGGCCAGTTGACAGCCACCGGGCTAGGTGATCTCCAAGAGCCAGAGCCTCTTTGGTGCTCTATAATCAAGAAGAATACTGGGCTCCAACCCCAGATTTCTTAGTTTTGAGCCACTGGCCTTGGCATGCCTAACAGCCGGTCCCAGTTTCCTCGTCTGCAAAATCCAACACTCTCCAGCTGACTCTGGCTTCCGCATTTCAGCTTTCTACACAGCCAAGTATGGCTACAAATTGTGCCTGCGGCTCTATCTGAATGGGGACGGGACGGGAAAGAGGACCCACCTCTCGCTCTTCATCGTGATCATGAGAGGGGAATACGATGCTCTGCTGCCTTGGCCTTTCCGGAACAAGGTATGGGCCGCGGGAACAATGGGGTGGGGTGGGGGAACCTGGGTCCTGGTTCTGGTTTAGCCATGAACTGGCTGTGTGACCTGGGCAAGTTCTTTGCTCTCTCTGCGTTATCAGTTTCCCCTTTTATGAAACAAGAGCCAAGTTCACATCTAGTAGCCAAGGCTCCCTCCAGCATCACAAGTCCAGGGGCTAAAATGCCTGGACCAGCAGCCCTGGAAGGCTTGGTGAAATGAAATTCACATGGTGGGGTGAATCAGGAAAACTTCCTGGAGGAGGTGTTTTGGGGCCAGCCTGAACAGGCAGCATTTTCAGAAAAAGGGAAGGAGGCAGATACCACTACACACCTCTTAGAATGGCCAAAATCCAGAACACTGACAACAACAAATGCTGGCGAGGATGTGGAGCAACAGGAACTCTCATTCATTGCTGCTGGGAATGCAAAATGCTACAGTCCTTTGGAAGACAGTTTGGTGGTTTCTTACAAAACTAAACATACTCTTACCATGTGGTCCAGCACTCACACTCCTTGGGATTTACCCAAATGAGTTGAAAACTTAGGTCTACACAAAAACTTGCGTATGGATATTTATAGCAGCTTTTTTCATAACTGCCAAAACTTGGAAGTAGCCAAGATGTCCTTCAGTAGGTGAATGGATAAATAAACCGTGGTACATCCAGACAATGAAATATTATTCAGCACTAAAAATAAATGAGCTATCAAGCCATGAAAAGACATGGAGGAACCTTAAATGCACATCACTAAGTGAAAGAAGCCCATCTGAAAAGGCTACATACTGTATGATTCCAACTCTATGACACTCTGGAAAAGGCAAAGCTATGGAGACAGTAAAAGGATCAGTGGTTGCCAGGGGTTGAGGAAAGGGAGGGATGAATAGGCAGAGCACAGAGGATTTTTAAGGCAGCGAAAATACTCTATATGATACCGTAATGGTGGATACATGTCATTATACATTTGTCTGAACCCGTACAATGTACGCCGCCAAGAGTGAACGGATGATTGTGATGTGTCAGTGTGGGTTCATCGATTGTAAGACATGTACCACTCTGGTGCAGGATGGTGATAGTGGGGGAGGCTGTGTGGGGGCAGGGGGTATGTGGGAAGTCTCTATATTTTCCATTCAATTTTGCTGTGCGCTTGAAACTGCTCTAAAAATAAAATCTATTAAAAATATTTAAAAGGGTGGGGGAGGCTACACATTCCCTGCAGGTGAACAGCAGCAGCAAGGGGGTGAGGGAGGGAAGGAAGGGGTTGAGAATACAGGCCTTCGCTGGGGAGGAGGGAGATAAAGGAAAACAGGTGGGGCGGGGGCGGAAGGGCCACGGAGGTCTGGCTATGAGTCAGTAACTCAGTGGTTCCCATATGTGCTGGGAGATTTTAAAAGTACCAACGGCCGGTCTCACTACAGTGAATGGTGAGACCTAAGCTTTCCGATTTTTAAAACCTTTCCCGGGGAGTCTAAAGCACAACCAAGTTTGAGAACTGCTCTGTGGGCAATGGGAAGGAGTTTCGTGTCCTGATGGGCGTTTCAGTGGTGTGCCAGGGAAGAGGGTTTGTGTCACTTGTAGGTCATCAGCTTCCTGGGGGCACACACATCTGCCCTATGCAAACCAGAAGCTCCATTCACCTTTCGGGGCGTTGATTGACAGCCCCTCAGTAGAAGGCCCATCTTCTTGCCCAGGGTGGTTCTAGCTCTAGTGATGGATCAAACCTTTCAGAGCAGGAAGGGGCGTTATAGATTATCGAGTCTGGCCTCCTTCTCAGGGCTCCAGTCCCACCGTTAGCCCTCAGTAGCCAACCAAAATTGACTGTGGCATCCGAATTCTCCCCTTCCTGATCCCTAAGCTTAGGACAGCCCCTGAAGCCTGCTCAGAACACCAGGTGCTTCCCTTTCCTGGGTCTCGCTATACGCCAGGTGCGGTCCTTACATCGTCCTTTTGAGTCCTAACCAGTCTGAGCTCAGGGTCAGAGGGGTACACAGGTGATAGACACAGACCTGGCTCCCAGTGCCTGACCTCCTCTGCCCCCTGCCCTGCAGGTCACCTTCATGCTGATCGACCAGAACAACCGTGAGCACGCCATCGATGCCTTCCGGCCCGACCTGAGCTCAGCATCCTTCCAGCGGCCCCAGAGTGAAACCAATGTGGCCAGCGGTTGCCCGCTCTTCTTCCCCCTCAGCAGGCTGCAGTCGCCCAAGCACGCCTACGTGAAGGACGACACCATGTTCCTCAAGTGCATCGTGGAGACAAGTGCCTAGGGCAGGCGAGGCCGAGTGAGCCACACCTGACTCCTGAGGGAGCTCCGGCTCAGACTGGGGGTTAGCAAGATGACTGAGGTCCTGCCCTTGGCGCCCAAGATCCCAGGGCACAGTGATGGGCTGGGCTGGCAGGATCTGAGCAGGACTCATAGATGGACTGTGGCTGGCCATCAGCTTAGGGCGGCAGGGCCTTGGGCTGGGCCCACAAAGGCAAAGGTCCAGAAGGAGGCGGCAGCAGGATTGTTCTCTGCACTGACCACACAACACTGGAGGCTGGGGAGCCACTCCAGCCCTGAATGTTGACGCGGGCTTTGACCAAGACCAGGAGGGAATGGGGACCAGGCCTAGGGCGTGGATGGTGAGCTGGAGATATAGGACCTGAAGAGAGAAGCTCTCGGGATGAGAAGGTCTCCACAGGGCTACCATGGAGCACTAGAAACATGCTTGCTCTCTTCCTGCCCGTGGTCAGAACCAGGACCAGGAGGTGGAAGGGACCAAGGGAATTCAGTCTATCCAGGCCTGGACTGAGTTTCCCATCACTGGAGGCGAACAAGCAAAGCCAGGGGGCTAACTTCGGGGAGGGCATCAAATTGGGGATTGGCTTTGAAGACCTCTAAGGTTCCTTCCAGCCCATAAAGTCTCTAGTTCTAGGCCTCCTGGCCCAGGTGAGGCCTAGGGCCGCAGAGGTTCTGGAAACATTCAGGAGCCTCACGCCCTCCAGGGTCCTCACTCACCTTCAGTAGCACCAGGTGGGCCGAGCTGGCCCACATGGCACCTGCCACCCTAGGCCTGGCAGCTCAGTTTCCCTAACATGCAGGGGCACCCACAGGCCCTGCGTCCCGGGCCCCCACCAGCAAACTCCCCTTCACCTCCTCCGGGTGAAACCAGGTCACTGAGCTCCCAGGAGCAGCCAGAAGGAGCATGGAGAAGGAGAGGGGCATAAACCCTCCTCTCTCCCTGCCTGGGGGCCCCACTGTCAGCACTTTCCAGAATCTCATGTCTCCTGATTACCCAAGGTATTCACTTCTCTAGTTGGCTGATCAGGGCCTCTGAGCCACTGAGCAGAGGTTGTCCTTTTAAATATGTATAAAAACCAAAGAAAGAATTTTTTTTTCATCTTTTGAAGTTTTCGTGCAGTGTGTGGTTGTGGGAGCTGGTCATCATCACTGAGCCAAGTCTGAAATGACCATTGCTGACTTCCAGGTGGTGCTGTCAGTTTCACAGGTAACAGCCAAGGCACTGTGCTGGCAGGAGCATCCCCTCTCGGCCTCAGCCTTCTCCTTTCCACAGTGGGGAGGCCCACCCCAGCCTGCTTCCCTCACTGGCTTCGGGAACCTCAAAGGAGATGCCACACAGGAGAGGCTGGAGAGAGAAAGGCCTCGGGCACCACTGCCTGCCTGTCATGGCCTGGCCGTGGCCCGTGCTCATCTTCTCACCTTGGATACCCCACACAACCAGATCCTGCAGGGACCCTCACCCGACGTTCTAGGAGCCCTGAGATTCATGTTGCCACTCAGGGCTCCAGGTCAGGACATCTTACAGCTTATTATTCCTCTGCTTGCTGAGGCTGCCATCGACTTCACTGCTCACACCCTCAGGGTTTTCATCTGTAAAATGGGTCGGCAGCCCTGCCTGTTCTCCCAGCCCAGCGTTTGTGAGGATGAGCCTCACAAAGGAAGTCAGGGAGCAGCGTGGCACAGTGGGCTCAATATATCGGAAAAGCAGATCCAACCTGGGTCCAAACCTGGCACCCCGTCCTGCCTCAGCTCCTTCATTTGAAAACGGGGAAGCATCTTCCCTGGCCCTGCCCAGCTCACGGGGTTTTCACGAGGCCCAGATGCGAGAATGGAGCACGAGTGTTGTGTATGTGCAGTGGCATCTTGCTACAGGCACGTCAGGGCTTCTTTTTCTTGTCCCCACCGCTGTCAGCCTGTCAGTAATGGAGACTGACTTGCTTCCCCTCGACCAGTGTAAATAACAAGGGAAGGTCTGTCCTAGCAAGTGATGGGGACTTCTGCCTCAGAGCTGGTGTCCTGACAAATAGCATCTTCGTCCCTACTCACTGAGTGCTGAGCTGACAAGGCATGTGTAGGACAAGTTACTACCAGGGAGAACTATTGCTCTATACCTTTCATTGCTTATTTCTGATGGGAAGAGAGACTTACTCTCTGAACAATCTGAGTCGCAGCCATTCTTTCAGCAAAGCTTTATTGAGACCCACTCTGCTGGACCCTAGGGAGGGAAAGGTAAGATGTGCCCCCGACCCTCAAGAAGCTCTTAGTTCAGTGGGGAAAACAGATATATAAGTAGATCATTGAAACTGATAAGAGAAGCTCAGAGAAAGTACAGGATCCCCGATCCATTGGGTGCAGCAGGGAAGGCTTCATGGAAAAGGTGGCATTTAAACTCAGCCTTAAAATATTTTGAGCTACAGAGGCTAGACACATGGGGGAGAGTAAAGACTCGGCGATGGGAAGCAGTCTTGGCTACAGATAGGGTCTGTGAGGCATACCCACGGGGGGAAGGCAGAAAGGTAGGACAGGCTGGAGCACAGAGGGCATTGAAGGCAGTCCCAACTGCCCAAAAGTGGGAGCAGTGGGAGGGGGAGATCCCAGATCACCTGTGTGTGACCCTCTGGGCTGTTAACAGCAGGATGATTTCAAACAGTAATCTATCTTCCAAAGGAGCCGTGTGTTAAGTGCACCAAACACCTGGCATCGCGCCTCTTCCAGGTGATTCAAGGGGAGGGGAGGCAAGGGGCAGGCAAAGCCACTGTTTCGTTGGGTCCTCACAACCGCCCACCGTGTAATCCCCTCTTAAAGGTTCGGAGGCTGAGGCGGGAGAGGCAGGGGCCTTGCCCACATGGGAGCGGGGGAGACAGCTGGAATTAGAAGCCAGGTCTCTTGCTTCCAGTTACTTGCCTTCCTCTTCAAGCTTCCTTTGGCTGAAGTCTGTGTCTTAGCCGCAATGAGGTCTCATCTTCCTGGGAGGCCTTGGGAGGCAATGGGTCCCTCTGCTCCCAGCCAGAGGGCCAGCCCTGTGGGACCACTGAAGCCAAACTGACGGTGCCCCGGAGGAGAGGGTGAGCAGTCGGCACCCGCGCGTTGGCTGTCACTCAGCGGCTCACAGGCCACCTCGTTGGTGTCCATAGGTGATCCTAGACAATGCTGAGCAGTAGGGACAACGGTTCTTTATGCCTTTAATTGTTCATTTCTGATTGCAAGATACATACTCATTGTAGAAAAACTGGAAAACTACAAAAGATACACAAGGAAGTAAAAATCCCCCATGAGCCCAGTGTCCGGAGAGTACTATGAGGAACATGTTAGTAAATTTTGTTTTTTTTGAAACAGTAGATACAAACACACACACACATAGACTTTTAAGATGCAATTAAAATCGTAATAATTACAGCTTTATGCTCCTTTTTCTCGTAACATCCTGTTATGACATTCTACCATTAGCCCCTTTGTATAGCCCACAGACACGGAAACTGAGAAAAGGGAAGTAACTTGCTCAAAGCCACTCCGAATAAGTGGTGGAATCAGGATTCACACTCAAGTCTTTTGATGCCAAAGCCAGGGCTGAAATTACTAAGACTGTTCTCAGATGGAGAAACAGGCACAAGAAAGGGAAGTGACTGCTTGAGAGGGGTGGGCCCCGATCGCAACTCTCCTGGACTCTTCTCTGTCCTGCATCCGGTGTTCAGGTGAGGCTCAGGAAATCCCAGGAGAGGATTCACCGTGTGGGTCTGGGAGAGACAGTGGGTCCAGAAGCTGGTGAGCGGGACCCTGTGCCCCAGCCTGGGCTGGGGAGAGTGATGGCTCCTCTGCCTTGAAGCAGCTGAACCCCAGCAGCGCAAGCAGGACCCACTCTCCCTTACTGACCCAGCTACTTGCTAAGCCTCAGTTTCCTTTCTGCCGCGTAGGTGAAAATCCTGATCTCACAGTTTTGTGAGGATGCCAAGGTCGCAGAAACCACTAGCTTTGTAACTGTGGGGTCCCAGTCTAACAATCACAGAAACAAGAATCCCGAACAGTCGTGGAGTGCCCAGCTGACCGGTAGACACTGCGCTGAGGGCTTATGTGCATCATTTCATGAACTTTGCACAAAAACCCCACGAGGAGGTGCGAGGATTATCATCTCTGTCTTATGGAGGAGGAAACCCAGGCTCTGAGGGGTAAAAATCACTCACTCAAGGTCATACAAGGGCCAGAGCCAGGACTTGGACCCAGATCAGTCTATGCCAGGTTCAAACCCTTAAGTCCAGTGACTTGATCAGCATAATGTTATGGAAAAGGCACAGAAAGGGGACATCCGGTTTTAGTTCTGCACAGACTGCAAATTAATTTTTAAATAACTAAAACAAAATGATGATAGCTATCATTTATTGATCACCTACTTTATTTGCCAATACCACATTTAATATGGATAACTGACCTGGGAGAAAGGTACTGTTTTCCTCACTTTATAGATGAAGAAACAAGCTCAGAGAGGCCAGGCAACGTCCCCAAGGTCACACAGCCGACAGGCAGGTCTCTGCCTCAACAGTCAGAGGTTTTACGCACCGTGGCTTCCTCTCCAGTGCTTTGGGGGAGCAGGAGAGGGACAAACAATGAGATGTGATGTGCCTTCTGGACCGACCAGCAGCCCTTCTTCTCCAGGATCCCTCTCCAGAGGAGATGCCTGGGCCTGGAGCACCCGACCCATGGAACTGCTTGGGTGGGTTTGGTGCAGCCCACAGGGAAGGAAAAGGATGAAGTCAGGGGAGCCACTGGTGTGCCGGGGACCCTTTGCCACGAGCTGGATCTCATTTGCTGCCTCGGCATCTGGGACGTGTGTTTGTCATTAAAGCAAAGCAATTCATGTGGCACAGAGTTCAAGGGACCATTCCAGAGGGGGCCAGGATATGACAGTCATCTGGGCCAAGGGCAGCCTTCTTTTTCAAGTCCTTTCCTCAACCCCCACCGGTCTCAAGACATTTTCCTCCTCAGAAAATCCAGGCTGTCGGGTGCTCATGTGATCATTGCCGGCACAGCTGACCACTGGACAGGCAGGGAGGGCAAAGTCGCCCAGCAGGTCGGTGGCTCAGCTGTGGTGGCCTGTGATTCCTCTCCAGTGGGAGGACATCAGCTGAGCCATCATCCCTCCCGCCTGTTGCCTTCAGCCTCCCACCATCCTCTGGGCAGTGGGATCCATCCTTCCAGCAGTGGGGCCTCTGTTCTTTGACCAGATAAGAGGAGGGAGCTCAGAGAAGAATGACTCGCTTGGGCACCCAGCTGCCAAGAGGCAGAGCCTGCTGGGACCTGGGTCTTCTGCCACAGCCCACAGCCCTTCCCACTGCACCCAGTAACCTCTTGGTATCAATACTGAAGAGTCTCTTTATCGGAACAAGTGGTTTCTATCCCCACCCCCACCCCATGCACAGCCCCATATGTCGAGGAATCCTGGGGCCAGCAGTGGGGTGGAATCCCACTGGGACACGAGTGCCTGGGACTTCGGGGGAGAAAGGCTCCTCTCTGCTGAGTCTGTCCTCCCCGGGGAGTTGCCTGCCCCTGTGTCCAAATCTTGGCCGTGGGGTGGGGGTAGTGAGAGCACTCACAACCCTCAAGACCATGAGATTGTCTGGTGTTCAGCCTTCTAGAGACTCCATACTCTTGCTGTGGGACTTTAGACCAGTCACCTGCCATCTCTGAGCTCGTTTTCCCATCTGCACCCTGGACAGGTGGGTGGGGATGGATACCGGCCCCCGGTGTTGACCGTGTGGGTTCTGAGCACCAGGAGTCTGGCTGAGGGAGGCCCTCTTCCATGGGAGTCTTTGCTGGCATCTTTTCTCAGCCCTGGCCTCTGCTTCTTGGGGAGCTAAGGACCCTGCCCTGTCTGCCCTCAGGGGGCCACCAGTCAGGGCGTCCAGAGAGCACAGGAGCTGCATTCCCTGGGTGGGGGGTCAGGAGGTGCAGGTCACTGAAGAGGGCCTCCCCAGCCTCGCACTTGCATTGGTCAGGAGCACGTGTGTAGGAGGGCAACAGTCCAGTTCAAGTCCTCGCTCTGTCCCTTGGTAGCTGTGTATCCTTGGGCAAGTTATTTAACTTCTCTGTGCC